TGTATTGAAGTCAATGGCACCGCAGCCATGCCCCCCGCCCACAGTGCGATCGCCCGCACCCGGAACGCAGGCACATTAGTGCCTGCATTGGGGTCCAGTGCGATCTGCAAAAATAGTGCTTGCAGCATTTTTCCGGATCGCACTGGACTGGAACGCAGGCACTAATGTGCCTGGGTTCCGGGTGCAGGTGATCGCACTGTGGGGGGCTGCCTGCAGTGCCTGGATGCGGTGCCATTGACTTCAATGCCCCACCACGCCCCCTCCCGCTCCTAAATGCAGGTGTTTTTTCGAAAAATTGTGGGCGCCCCTGATCTAGGACAACATAGCTGAACCGGAAAGTGAGCTGAATTGGAGAATTTTTCCAAATCAGCTATGTTGTCCTAGATTGCTCACTTCTCCTGCCTCCTCCAAAATCTTCACCCTTTTGTGAATAACCCTGTAAATAATTCCTGGTGATCCTGTCATTAAGGTCCTGGTTCAGACACTTCCCGTTATAGGGTGACAACCCACTGCTTCTGTCTCTGTAATGTTCTCCTGCATTGTGTGGGCTTCAGCTGCCATTGTGATGTGCTGGCCTTCTGGTGTGTCCCTGTGCCTTTAAGGAGGACCTCCTGGCAAACCTGCACCCAATTCATCCTTTGCTTTATAAACTCCAAGATGGAGGCTCTCATAGATTAGAGTTAGGACTTCACTACACAGAGGGGCCCTGGCGAGGCAGTGCGACTTCCACATATATTCCAAAAGTTGTGCAACTAAAACCTCTGTTTTTAACCCTAATAGTTGGACCGTATCATTTGTTTTTTTTCTTGAGGGCTGGCGGGTGAGTGTGCTGGGAAATATTTGCTTTTGTACTATGTAAAGCCCTTCCATGTGCACCTTACTTTAAAGCCAGTTATAAATTGATGAGTGTGTTTGCCATTTGTTTCACTGTTGCATTGTCATCTCGTCACAATGGCTTCCAACAGAGACTACAAGTGGTCATTTCAATGTACATTATGCAGCCATTGCAGGAGTGCTTGTATGTAGGCATGCATGTAGGGAGACATTGGCTGCAAGAGATCAGCAGCACTGAGAGGCTACAAAGGATGAAAAGAGGTGACAATGGTATTTCACACAAAAAAAAAGTGGCAATTGTTTATGATTTAAAAATTGATGTCAGTTAGGGTTAAACATATACCTAAAGAACATAAATCATTGTCTGGTATGTTACAAAGTACAAACAAAGAAATAATTAGTGACACATTTATTAATGATTTCTTAAGCTTGTGTAAGTACATAGAGTGCTTTTGTCCTGGTCACATATTTACTTACATATGCTAGAAAGGAGTGCCAGCATTATCACTCATACATATCTGTGTCCCTGATATGTAAGTGACATTGCTATTTTCTGGGAGCTGGGTCAGCACTTGTTAAATGGCTAATGAATAACAGAATATATTTCTTGTATAAACTGTCTTAGTCCTGAAGAAAAAAAAGAAACGGAGTATTTGCTCTAGGTCTAGTGAGTTTAGCCTTAAAGAACATCTAAACCCAAAACAAAAAATTTAATATACTGCAGATTACCAATCAATTACTGTGGCGTCTGCATTCGTTTTATTTTTTTAGGCTTTTTTCCCTTTATCTTCACCTGGTGATCTGGCCAGTATGAGGGGACCCACTAGACAACAAGGAATTGAAACATGAAAAAAAATAAGAACAGATGTGGACACAATCTGTGCCTCTCTTATATACAAAGAAAAAGAAAGGAAGGTTTAATGTCACTTTAATTATCAGTGTGGTAAAGGGGGTCCACCGTTCACCACTGTATCTCAACAATGAAACAAGTAATAAAGGCGGAGCAAAGTCTCCTGGGGGAAAGGGGCAAAACAATGATAGTGAGACTTCTTTAACCGCTTGAAGACCAGGTGTTTAGATCCCCTACCTGGCCAGGCCATTTTTCAGTGTTCAGCGCTGCGGTACTTTGACTGACATTTATTCCGTCACGCAACGCTGTACTCCCCCACAGTGCTAATGTAAGGACTTACCTTAAAGGATGTCTCTTAATCCGATCATCTTCTTCTTTCCTGTAGTTTTCAGCTGTCCCTCCAGCGCTATTGCGGGTCTCCGATCCAGCGCTGACTCCTCTGTCCTCCTCTTCTCTGCTGTCCCACGGTGTCTGTGCGGGTGCACGCTGCTCCATAGACTTACCTTGTGTCTGTCCTCGTCTCCCGGCCGAACATCTGAACTGCGCATGCGCCCGCCCCAAGATCCTTTGCGGCTGCCCAAGAAATGTCCAGATGTTCGGACGGGAGCGTGCGGCGGAGACACAGGTAAGTATTAACCCTTTGAAAAAGGTTTTTTTTTAAAAAAAATCTTCTTGCATATATCTACTAACCTTATCAGTGATGTGCCTGCTTAGCAAGATCCATACTGCAGCTCCTCCTTTAGGACACTGGACTTCAAGTCTGTACTGAGGATTGTTTGCAAGACTGTAAGCGTCTTTCACTGGGCCCTGCTTTGCATCCCATGTACTGAAAAAAAGGAAGGAAAAAACATACACAATCAACAAATTACTGTAACATACTGTACATGGACATGGGTCTCCAGACAGGAGAAATTATCTGGAAAGTATAAACAACTTGTATGCTCCCCAGTTCACTTGTTCCTGGGTATAGCTGCATTTACATGCATTTAGCTGCGTTAAACCAGGGTAAACGGTCCCAGGGCACAGAAAATTCTTGCTTGTGTAGGTACAGCTAGATTGAATGCATGTAGATGCTGCTGAGTGTCTATGTGGCCATTCAGCCACAGCAAAGCATTACAGGTGCATTTAGAAATGAGCTCCAAATGCACCCGAGCGCATGTATTTAAACTTCGGTGTACATGGGACCTTAAAAAGCTACAATGTGAATTAACTTTAACTCATACTGCATACCAGATGGAAGGTTTCCAAAAAACAAGATGGAAGCATCATTTGACTCCTCAGCCAAGGGTAAGAGAACACTGGTGTCGGTGAAACACATTAAGGGCACATTGAGTGTTATGGTGCCCAAAAAGTGGATTTATATCCTTTGTGGCAAATGAGAAATATATTTACGTGAAAGTTTTTGTGCCTGGGGTTCAGATTTAAATTGGGCATACACTGTTAGAATTTTGTTTTACAGGTGTCAGCTGAAATTCTAACATTGGGTGGCTCTACTGGCTCGACAAGAGTTGATTACTTACTCGACTTTTGTTGAAAGAGTCGGGCTGAAAATGTATGACCGAACAGTGACTGCAGCCAATTGGGGTATTCTGACATAAAGAGGTGCTGGCTGTCAGAATACATTAGCCCAGTGGTGGAGACTGAATGCTGAGTAGCAGAATTCCTGTGGCTATAAAAAAATACTGAAATGACAAACCTGTGGATACATGTTGATTCTTTGAAGAGGCTTGGGTTCCAGCTTAAATAGATGACATCATAGTACTGACACAGATCTTCCCATGTAATCCAGAAGATACCTATGAATGAAGATAGGTATTCATTCACATATTATATTCATGAAGATATATTAGTGAGTATCCTAGATCTCTATCTTAAAATGTTTCATCATTTAAAACTTCTTCTTGTCCAATAGCCACAACAGGAAGTGACCTAGTGGTCAGCAAGGACACTGCAACGAGTGTCCCTGTTGGAAGATTTCCCATCTATTCCTGTTCTGATGATAACCAAAAATCTGGTTATCTTTATTTCACTCTTACTTTCAGTGATAACGGTCACCAGGACAAATAGTGAGAATGAATCTCCAGAAAAGAGACAAACAGCAATAAAAAGCGGACATGCACTGATCCCTCTCCACTCTATCCAAAAACAAAGTGTGGCTTCAGTTGCACTTTAACTAGCTGTAGTGTGTCTATGTGTGGTAGGGACATTAGACTATGAGCTCATTTAGGCCAGGTTCACACATGGGCGTTTTACAGCGCTGATCGACGCGCTGTAAAACGCCCAGCAAGTGAAATCCCATACTTTCCTATGGGCATGGTTCCCACCTGGGCGTATTGCAGCGCGTAGGAACGCGCTGAAAAACGCCCTATGCCCAAAGAAGTACAGGAGCTTCTTTGGGGCGTTTTTCCGCGCGTTTCCATTGGTATTCCCGAGTGTGGATCGGGGTTAACAAAGCGGTAACCCCGAGCCACACGCGGGAATACAGCGTACTTGTCCGCGATCCCCGCTGTGTCCTCCGGTGGCTGCCGACTTCCGGGTTCCGTCCCTTGCAAGCGGCCGCGTCGCAGGGAGGTGGAACCGACGGGAAGTTTGAAAGTGAAAAAAAAAAAAATGTTTAAATAGAGACAATAAGGAAAAAAAAATCATACCGTCAGTGAAACGCGTGCTTCACTGAACGGAAAAATGTACTAAAAAACGCGAAAAAAACTAACTGAAAAAATACGCCCAGGTGTGAACCCAGCCTTAGGGTACAGGTACTGAAATGAATGTATCTATGGGTTCTGTGCTGTGTGATGTGCTGGTTATAAACAAAATTGTAAAAGAAAAGACAAGATGCAATTTACCATTGTCAATTTTCTGGGCTGTCCGTGGATCAAAATTCAAGTATTTCTGCAGCTCTGGGGTCCAGCTCCTCTCGTCCTTCTCACAAAAACGGCCTTTCCACCTTAAATGACTCCAGGGGTTCTTCAACTGCAGGAACCTCAACGTCTGGAAAGCAACACAGGAAATAAGTACAAACTTATGTGCAGCAGCTCCTCATTTAGTGCAACAATAATTATGTAAAGCGGTTTGTGTTGTATATAAATCCAGGCTCATTGCAGACATTTCTCAATCTAAAGCAATACAATGTACAGTAGGAAACAGCTATTGTTAAAGTGCTCTGCCACTTGTGCAGCCAAATTGGGATAACACCTATTTAATATTTGTTACATGTTCCCATACAGAGGAGCAGCGCTGTCACCCTAGACTACTCGCCTTATTTGGACTGCAAACACCTTCCCCTCACCTCTCCATTACATAAGAAGAAGGTGTTTTGTAGTTTACAGAAGATAGCTGGGAAAACTAACACTGTTTGAGAAGTCGATCTAGTGGTTCTCAACCTGTGTGACCTCAGGACCCACATGTGTCCTTAGTCATTAAGTCGCGACCCAGGTCGCACTGCAATAGAACGCACGGCATTAGGGTACCGTACATTCCGTTGCAGGTGTACGTACTGTGGGTGGGAGGTGCGTTTGGGGAAACATTTAAATGAATGGCAACGCAACACACCTCCCACACCAGAATGCACGGTAGGTGTGATTGCGTGGTAAGGTGCGTTAATCGTGCGGTACTATGCTATTAATGCACTGTACTAGTGTGAACGAGCCCTCAAAAACACTGACAGACACACAACCACAGACATTCTCATACACACTCCAAATTTTTTTTAATTAAATGCCTTTAAGGTCCACCTATAAGCAATGCACGTATGGATGGAGGTCTCTCACCGCCATTGCCCCATCCCATCCCGCCTCAAGCTTACACTTGGTGCTGGGCAGCATATTTTAAATGGCTGCTTGGCGTGAGAACTGACTGCTGTGCTAGGGGGAGGCAGAGGAGCCTCTTACCTAGAAAAGTGGAAGGCATGCGGTGACCCACTGAACATGTGGTCGCGACCCACTTTTGGGTCACGACCCACCAGTTGAGAACCAAGGATCCAGAGCACAGGAAGGTACTGGCATTATCAGCAGATATTTTTCTATACTTGCTGAAAATGTTCTGAGCCTGTAAAAAGAAAACGAATGAAGCCACCATATCTATGGACTGCTAAGCTGCATTACACAGTATTACATTACTCATGCGTTTAGATATACTTTAAAGCAGTGGTTCTCAACCTGTGTAACCTCAGGACCCACATTTGTCCTTGGTCACTAAGTCGCGGCCCAAGTCACGCTGCGATGGAACGCACGGCAGTGTGGTCTACTGTGCTGTGATTTAGCTCCTTCCATATGTGCATTGCTTGTACAGCTCCCATGTGCGCCTGTAGAGTTGCTGGGAGCCAGAATGTGATGTCACTCCAGTCCAGGCACCTCTACAAGACGTGCGAGAGAGCTATAAGCAATGCATGTAAGGATGGAGCTCCCTCGCGGCCATACCCCCAGCCCACCCCACCTCAAGTCGACATTTGGCGCCGAGCAGCATATTTTGAATGGCTGCTCGGTGTAAGAATGGACAGTGCTGCGCTAGGGGGAAGCCGAGTAGCCACTCACCTAGAAAAATGGAAGGCATGTGGCGACCCACTGAACAAGGAGTAGCGACCCACTTTTGGGTCATGACCCACCAGTTGAGAACCAAGGCTTTAAAGCAAATGTAACATGTGAGCAAAGATCAATAACAATCAAGGGATCATTTATTTGCTAAATACACGCTGCAATTGCAGAGTAATCGACAACTGAAAATCACTTTTGCTAAAAACAGCAGCATGGTATTGAAACTTTTACACTGCAGAGATGTAATCTGGCTGTGACCAGCCTGGAATGTAGTAGTATTGTATGGTCCCCAACATTTAGTGATCATTGATTTCGTCTAATAAGTGTATTGCTATATAACAAAACACGTTTTCTAGGTAACAGATTTATTTGAAAGAAAAGTGAGAGGTAGGTAAGGTGTTTGAGGATACAGGTCATCCTGGCTACTCAGCAGCCGCTTGCCGACTCTGCATACATAATGTGATCTTTCCTTCAAATCAAGAGTAGCAGATTCAAATATCAACAATGTCGCTGGTTGACCTGGAAATCCATCAGAGCCCCTCCTAAACTTCTCATTTTGCAGAACACGGATTAAGAATCTACAGTATTTCTCCTCACTGCAACTCATCTCTAATTTTAAACATTTTCCTGCAAGTGAAGCAGCAGCTCAAAGCAGAACTCCGGGCAAAATTTGTATTAAACCTTGCAGGTGGGGCTATCCCCTGCACTGCAAGGTTTAACTGCTCCTTAACTGCTCGATCCTCTGTCCTCTGGCTTGCTCTTAAACCAGTCTTTTCTACCTTGCTTCCCCTCTGCTGCAGCAGTCTAAGGTCCGTGAGTCATCATGTTCTATACACAGAGGGGAATTTATCAAAACTGGAGCAGACAGAATCTGGAGCAGCTGTGTATGGCAACCAATCAGCTTCTCTATGTTATTTTCAAAGCTTATTCGAACAAACTGAACAAACAAACTGATTGTTTGCTATGGGCAACTGCTCCAGGCTCTGTCTGCTCCTGTTTTGATAAATTCCCCCCACAGTATATAGAACATGAGGATGCCGAGGGACATAACATCACTGCAGTGTCGGAGGGGACAGGCTGGAAGGAGTATTGTCACAGCTGGCTGACTCGAAAGATCATGTATAACTTTGTTATTTTTCTCCCTAGACCAAAATGAGCAGTTAACCCTTACAGTGCGGGGGTAACTTAGAGTTCTTCTTTAAGCCAGGCACCTTAGCAATCACCTCCAGTAAACACATCTGATATCATGCCATCCAGAAGCAATAACACTCTACTCTGGTAACTGAAATGTGCTGCTTTACAATTGGTCACTGGAATGGATGAATTTAAAATAAAAGTGCCCCAGCTGAGTTATTGGTCTTGTTTATTCCTACAGCTCAGATTTATAACCTGGGGCTGGACATATCCCAGGAGCCAGGTCGCCAGTGGTCCTTAAGAATTACAGCGGTGCCTAACTTAGTTGTTGTAATTGGAGCCAACTACTATAAGAAATCTTCCTGGCTCCTGGATTGGACACAATGACTCCTGAAGTCCATATTAATGTGTCCACCCCTGTCATAACCTATAGATTACAAAGCACTTTTGTCACCTTTAATATCAGATTCTAAGCCAAATATGTGAGGGCTTCATTAGCTTTAATCAATAAAAAGGTCTCATTCTTAAGTGCAATAACCCTGTGCACCCAATCAGAATTGCTGCAGCCAGACCAGCACAAGATTCAATCTAACTGGATGCTATGCGTTAGTGCAGTTCTGAATTAACACTGTTTATTGAATTAGATGTGTGTATTAGTAAGATTCCAATGGGAAATGTTGCCACTGGAGATAAGAAAATGGTAAAATAAATCGAATGTGTTGCTATGGACAGTACAGACATGTTTTAAGCATCAGGTCTAGTATATCTTTTGTTGGGTTCTCATGCTGGCCTACCAACTTTGCTAATGCATGGTTAAAATAAGTCTTCTATACCAAATGCGTTTCCTGCGAGAAACAATAGATGCTACAAACAAATATGTAAGGAAACAAAGGCATAAGAGCGCCTCCTAGTGCAGAAATCTTTATTAATGTATATTAAAAAAGGAAAATTGTACTCACAAACGTAAGTGTATAAAGTAGGGATGCACCAATACCGTTTTTTTGGTAACGAGTACGAATACCAATATTTATCTTTTGGTACTGATACCGGTACTTCCGCTAACATGGAGCCAGCTTTTCGGGTAATCAAGAAGCCAGGTGGCGTGTCATTACTCACTGCCCAGCTTCTTGATTGGCTGGGAAGCTAGCTCCATGCTGTTAGGTCGGCCTGATCCTGATTGGCCAGGAAGACAGCTTCCCAGTCAATTAGCATCGAGCCGGCTGTTTGGTTGGCCATCCGGCTTCCTGATTGCCTGGGAAGCCGGCTCCATGCTGTTTGGCCAGCTCGATGCTGATATCGGTGTCTCCCTAGTATAAAGGATCTTCAGAATGGCACAATGATTGTATCCAAATACCAGGAAATGCTGAAGAGCTAGTGGAATGTGAAGGCTGCAGATCTGTATATCATAGGGATAGATTGGTATGTCACCAGCGTCTCTGCACGTACTGCCCACAGACACTGCTGATATACCAATCTGCAGCCTTTACATGCCACTAGCTCTTCGGCTCTTCCTGGTTTTTAGATACAATCATTGTGCATTGTGAAGATCCGTTTTACACTTATGTTTGCGAGTACAATTTTACTTATTTAATATACAGTAATAAAGACTTCTGCACTAGGATGCCCTCTTTTGCCTTTGTTTCTTTGCATTAGATGTCCTGTCGGTACCCTGACTGAAGAGGAGCTGCCTCCCTATGGAATACTTCATGTGTTTGTGGGCCTGGCTATAGGTGTTTTCTGGCACTGATGGACAAACATTTATTTTTAAACAGATATGTAATTCAAACCTTGTATTCCCTAATGTCCAAGACGGCATATGCATGTGTAGGGACCAAGCCCCATTTGTCCCCTTCTTCTTCAGTCATCACTCCTGTAGCTGTAGTAATAAGTGCATCACCTTTGTGAAATCTAGAAAGAACACAGAATAGTTTACCATAGGAATAGAGATGAGTGTGTATTTTTGAAACAAAACTATATAGAAAAACATTGTTCCTGAAAAAACAAAAGAATAAATCTCACTGGCTACTTAAAGAATAGGTGAACTTTTTTTGCACCCCTCCCCTGACCTAAAACGATCCCACCCTCACCCTCTGTAGATCTGTAGGTATTGAGATCTGAGGGCTGCTGCTCTGTTGTTTGTTGACATCCAGCACTGCAAGTGTCACTCTCCTGGTTGTGTTTGTCTGCTGGCTGGGAGATGGCCGCATAGGAATCTATGGGGCTGTAATGTGCAGGTGCAGCCAGTAGAGGGAGCATTGCAGTGCAATTGTAATTTACATAGAGCACAGAGGTGGTCATTTCCATGAGGTCAATGACGATATGAAGAGGAAATCTAACAAAAAAAAACTAATTTCTGTGGTTATGTAGAACAATTGCATTTGCCTGCTTCATGTATACTTGCTCTACATTACTGGCATATGGTTTTTTTTTTTTTTTTAAATACCTCAACAAAAAGGTGGAAATGGGCTTTAAGCACTTTTCACATTTGTTTTGCATTACAGTGGAACTCCAAACAAAATGAGCCAGGAAGGTAAAGAACCTCTTAGGGTTCTATGTCCTCATGGCGCAGCACAGTAAAGTCTTCTTAGAACAGAAGGTATTCACATGTCTCATTCCATCACATATCCCAAAAATAAGAGGATAATAATTTCAGGACAGTGGGAAGAGCCATGCAATTTTTGGTGGGAGGGATATGTAACGGAATAACATGTGAATACCTTCTGATTTAAGAAGGCTCTACAGTGCTGTGCATGGATTAGAGTGAGGGCTTTGTGATTGCTTTAGTCCCTTCTCGCATAACCTGTATGGTTATATTATATCTGTGTCCTTATTGGTAAGACTTCCAACCACTTCCGAGCACTGTGTTACAAAGGACACATACTGCAACTAAAAACCTACAAAGATTTACCGCTTCCTCATTTTGCTAATAAAAGTGCTTTTATTACTGTCTGCGTCCTTGTTAAAGAGATTCTACTCATTTCTTGTCTCAGTCACAAGACAGAAAGTCAACTGGACACAGACAGTACAGCAATACAAAAGTGAAGACTAAAAAAAGAGTTTACTACACCAGTCACAGTCACTATACCAGCCAAAATCAGAGCACCTGATGTAACCTTGGCTTGGTCTTGTGTGGCCCTGGTTGACATGTATGTACATATACTGTCTCTGTATGATTTCCTATGTTAATTTTTATTAATAAACATTGTGATTACCCGATTATGATATATTTTATGCACCATGTGTCATTGTTCATTACTGACTTTGGTTATTATCATACTTTTACCTGTGCAAATGAAATCCTGTCATAAACAAATAAGGTATGTATTACTGCTTATTCCTCTACTCCTAGCCTTACAAGCATGTATTCCTTGCAGTGCAGAGAGGCTCCACTATTGGGGTATTTATTTCTGGTGCCTGGAGTCGGCCTTTAAAAGGAAAGAGAGCAGTTGCACTAAGAGCAAGTGGCAAATTTCACAAATCTCAATAAAAATCCAATACTTGCCCTAAAAGAAAATAAACTATACCCCTTAAAGGTAGCCTGTCATAAGAGGAGCTGGAGGCTGGCACAGCTTCTGAAATTTTAGTTGCCTGCCCATGGCGCAGACTACTATTCAATACTCTTCAGCAATCTGAAACAAGTACAAAGACTTTCCCCAATTTGCGAGAATCAGAAAGAATTAAATCCTGGGCAACTTTCATTTCCAGAAGCATATCAGCAATGGCGGCCACCATATTCTATTAATGGCAGGTTTACTTTAAGTGCAAACGTTTATTTACATTATCAGTCACAAGTAAAGCTGGTTTTATATTATCCGAATTTCAACCAGTTCTTCAGAAAACGGTCAAAATTCACACAGTGGGCGCCGCTGCCGGCGCCACTCGATCAGCTGATTGAAGGAGACGGTCGGAAAATCTTTCAACAAACAAAGCCGACATTCAGGTATTCTGACAGCAGCCGGCGGCCACTGTCAGAATACAAAAATAAAAAACCAAGCAGGGATTCTTAGATTAATGCGCTTGTTGCATTGATGGGGGAATCTATTCTATTATTTTCGTTCAGCCTGCGAGTTAAACGAAAAAAATGGAACAGGGTATGGCCAGCTTAAGGCTACAAGGAGTTCCCCAAGTAAGATATGGTGGAAAAGGGTTTACCCTCACAACAAAAGCCATCACGTTCGTCCTTATCTAATTCAGGTTTTAACTTTAATGCACGTATTGTATCTGTAATAACTATAAAGTTCTCTAATAGTTGGAACTGTAATGCAGATGTACTATATTCTGCAGACACACAAACATGTAGACTATATATACACTTAGACGAGGGTTATACCTTTGGTAGAGCATTCTAAAAGTGCTTTCTTTATCAAAGGCCTGGTTGCCTGAGTGCATAGCAATCCTCTCTGGTATCCATCCAGTCAGTGCATGTAAGTCGATATTCTGCAAGGAAGATATAGTACAGAGGTACATTCACCCAATGATTCTCATACTTCAAGGGCTTTTCACCCTAAGAAAACATACATAACAGATGGGTACAAGAACTACTTTATCAATATTAATTCACAATGTTTAGCTTCCTTCACTCATTCACAGCATTGCTTGACAAAGCAGAAAGATAAAAACAGCATATTTCAGAAATTCTGCAGGAGACAATGGGGGAGCTAAAGACACAATCAGGCAATTACACTAGTATTAAAAGTATATTTTATATCATGAAAAGAGAAATATAGCCAAACCTTTTTTTTGGCTACAGTTCTCTTTTGGGTCACATTTACTAGTATCCACCTGTGACCCAAACTCAGCAAATAGTATGCTATTGCCCACTATATGCTGACAGTGCGTAGCTGCTCTACAGCTGGGAAAGAGCCCAGGAATATACTCGGGATGCACCCCACTGCCTGATTGACAGCTGGCTCTGCCTCTCTAGAGCCAGAGCCAGCCCCCTCCCGCCTGTCCCTCCAATGAGCGCTGGAGGAACAGAGAGGAGGGGGGAATCCCTGCGGGGAATGGTGACTGACATTCACTGCTCTCTGCAGAAAGAAGCCATGAGCTGAGCGATCAGCAGTTTGGGATTGCTCAGTTCTCGATCAATAGAGCCGACATGTGACAGCTGCAGTGTCACATGCTGGCTCCAATTTTTGGGAAGAGTATATTCTACTTTCCCAATAGTTCTCCCTTAAGGCCCTGTTCACGCCTTTGCATTTTAGCATGTGTCAAAGGAACATGTTAATCAATGAGCCTGTACACATCTATGCACTACGCTGCATTTAGAAAAATGAGGCATGCCCATTTTTCTCTGCATTTTTATGTGCTGTGAGCCCACAGAAGTGTATAGCAACATATGAAAATGCATGTACATTGCATTTTCATGTGTTGCCAGCCCTTGGTAAGAAACTTCCCCCTTGGATACCTGGCATGTGCTCACATACTGCTCCAAGCAAGATGGATGCTGGAGAATCTCTGTATGACACACAAGCTCTCTGCAAGAAGGTTTGCAGCCTTCCCCTTCTGCATGATCTCTGCCACTGTCACTACA